GAAAAAGCATTGTTTTTGCTTATTGGTCTGATGGACTGGTGCTTATATTCGGAATTGTATATTTCCTTTATGAAAATTTTGGCATCATTTGGTAAATGTCATTTGGCATAGACAATTTTTGATAGGTGCATCTTCGTTGAATCATCAACCACTGCAGTTTTCCGCGAGAAAAAACTTTCACAGTGAAAGTGAATGGACGAAATCAATTCCAAAATCTCGCCGCTCTTTGAGGTAAATGCTACTATCATTTAACGAATTTTCGATTTTCACTCCATTCACTTATTTTTGTATTCAGAATCGATTTCGCTGCATTCATTAGCTTTTGAAATTGAGTGAGAAAGTGGAAAGATGTCGTTGAAAAGTTTGATGAATATATTGTTATTATATAAGGTATCGTAACTGTGAGTGCATGCACGTGTTTGGCAATCGCAATGCCACTGAGCAATTGCTCACCGAGGAATTAATTGTATGTTTTTGAAAACAAAACGCGAAGATTATTTCACGTGTATTCATTTTTTCTTATCTCCGCAAGTTTCATTCCTCTTAGCGCGTGTGTTGAAGAGATGGAGGAAATGTGTGTAGTGATTCGTTTCAATCATGTGTGTTTTTCTTGCAGTGTGCGCGAAAATAATTTCAATCGCTCCACACCTGTCGCTTTTGGGCTATCAAAAGATGGCATTCGCTTCAATTCAAATCGTTTAACTTTCAAAACTTCACCAAATGGCAATTTCAAGTCACAGTCTGTGTCAAACCTAGCTGAGTACGAGGTGCGTGATACTTAATAACCTGCATTTTTTTGCTAAAGTATTGAAAACCTTAGCAACACGTAGTCTTTAGCAGCGGTACCAGATTAAATATGATTTTGACAATAAACGAAACATCGATAAAAATGGTTGATTGAAGAATAATTCCACACAAACGCCTGTGGATTGGCTGGAGCATGTACTGGATGAGTTAGGGATAAAAAACTCATTGCTGCCATCGAAGAACTTTGCAGTAGCAAAAAAATCAACTGGAGCACTGGTTTGATTTAATCGATTCATTTCATTCCTCAATTTTAGTCTTTTTCAAGCTGTTTTACAGTCTTTTCTGGTTTGTCCAATGAAAGAGCGGCTGAATGGCATTGCACTCATTATCAGTTGATTTCAACAACACTTATATTCATGAAAATTACAGCTAAATTCCGATGGTGAAGTTGATCTTGTGTTGCAGTTGGCCGATTTAGTTGAATTCATTGTTAAGATGCATTCACCTCGACCTGTGCTCGTGAGTTTGTCCAAATTGATTGCTTTCTTTTCATACTTCTGCTCAAAAGCGTAAGCATAAAAAACAACTGGAGGATGCTTGAAGTTAGAGGTGCCGTTTTATATACCATTTATTCAGCGATCGTTAATAGGTGTGATAGACAGTTTTAGCTGAACGAATTACCCGAAATCGTGGGCGCCGTTTATGGGCAACATATCGATCCAGCAGAAGATCGTCATTACCGTATCACTTGGCTGGAACTCATCTCTAAGTTCAAAAAGCACACGATCGATGTCACCGATCTCATCAATGGTAACAAGGTAACTGAAATACTTTTCGCTGCTCATTTCTTCGTATAGCCCACCCATTCGAAATCCTAGCACTTGCAAAAAGTGATCAGTAATTTTAAAACTTTAGTTTGTTTCATTCATACGATTAATGCGGTCAATGAGTTTATGTCGCCCATTCACTTTTGAATGCATTCTGATTGCTCAGAATAATAATTGTCTAAGACAATTACAAGCAAATATCGCACAGTTGACATTGAGAATATAGTTGTGATTATGACAGATACCGTAAGAAAATAACGAGCGCATCAAAACGATCATTCAAAATTCTATGAACAGTTATTCAGAAAAAGCAATGCAATCCCATATCATTCTTTCCTACACAACAAAACGAGATTCTCTTTTTGCAGTGAACGAGTTGGCTAAAATTCGATTTGTTATTTCAGGTTCTTACATACGCAATAAACAAACGCTCATAAAATACTGATAATGGTCAAATTTTATGCATCAAAGAATTAATTTTGTTGAGTTGACTGATAATAGAAATTTATTTTGATTGTGTCAAAATTGTCGCGCAGTTACATTAGCCGTTTGTGCAAGTATTTTTAATGGTGAAATGACTTGTAAATGTTGATATTATCAGTGAATTGCCCATCTGTTATGTAACTGCTCATCAGAAGTTCATGTTCATATGTACACGTTCTCGTTTTATTGATATTCTAGTTGATCACCAATGATGATTGCAAATTATTGTCCTTTGCATTTGTTTATCGTTGTTGTTTTTGTTGAGTTTGTGCAGTTGATGCTTCATTTCAGTTGATTTAGCATTGCTGTTATTGATAATCTCATTTGTGCCCTTTAACCTCCACTTTAGTGAATCTCTTCATTCGTTATTCGATTTCCGTATGTGAATTTGTTTGGATTCTTTTTTTTTTGGTTTCATTTCGTTCACTTGTTTTTCTTCTATTGTACAATAAAGGTTCATTACGTTTTCATCATTCCTGATGAGTTCAATTATAGTTGAACTGAGATTCTCTATTACCAGCCATGGTGAACAGTTTCTGTACAGGTCTTCAATAAAGTTGAGTCTAGTTGTGTGATAAGTGAGTGAAGTGCCGTTGTTAAGAGATATTGATAGGGTCTGCGATATTTTGAAGCACATGAAAAGCACTATCGGAAACCGTTCTCAGTAAGAAGATCATGGTGAATTGATTTTCTGGAAATTTTGTTTCCTTAGGTCTTGAAAGAATGATTTTTGGTATATTCTATTTTCGGAAATTCAAAAAGAACGATTTTTAAAGCAACTTAAAACCAGGCATTTTTGAAAGACTATTTTTCGAAAGTTTACGGAAGAAAGATTTGCCGATAATTTTCATTCCATGGGCTTACATGAGCAGATATAGCTGTCTTCTTGAAGCTATCTCAATTAGCGCATTAGCGCTCATTGATATGCATTGTATTGCAATAGATCAATATATACATTACTATAGCGCTATAGGGGTTACCATATTCAAGCTAACCGAACCCTCCGGTTTGCCCAGTAACATATGGATTTCTTTAAACCAATCGATTCTGTAGAACCTCTAGATTCAGAATATCATATATCTTGCTGAGTGATTCTGCTTACATGAGAAGATTTAGCAATTTTTTTGAAACTAACTCAGTTCTATGAGGGTAACATCTTCAAGTCTACCGTACTCTCAGGTTCGCCTAGAAACGTATGAATTTATTTACACCGTTCGATCCAGTGAAACATCTAGATTCAGAATATCATATATTTTGCTGAGTGATTCTGCTTACAAAAGGAGATATAGCAATTTTCTCGAAGTTATTTCAACTAGCGCACTGCGCTCATTGATATATCACATATTGATCGCCGTAGATCAACTTACACGTTATTATAACACTATCGAAGTTGCCATCTTCAGGACCACCGTCTTCTCAGGTTTGCCCAGGAACACCTAAATTTCTTTACACCATCCAATCCAGCGGAACGTCTAGATTCAGAAAAACATAATTTTGTTGAGCAAATCCTCTTAATTAATGAGATACAATTATTTCCCTTATGTTATAGAGTTTTCTACATTCAAGCCTACCGTACTCTCAGTTTTGACCAGTAACATATCAGTTTTTGTACACCAATCGATCGAACAGATTCTCTAGATTCAGAAAAATATTTATTTTGTCGCGCGATTCCGATTAGTTGAGAAGATATAGCATTTTTATTGAAGCTGTCTCAACTAGCGCAGTATCACTCATTGATCTTAAGCTTGAATGTCAAGTTGTTTCCATGATTTCTAATCGAAATTATTAACGATAAGTATATAAATGCTTGATGGTTCGATGAAAATCCATTGCGGATGTTTTTTTCGCTTTCTAGATGAACTCTGAACTTTTAGTTTTTTCTGCCATTCTGTCTCAGCTTATAGCACTACCATCCCATCTCGGCTCATAACATTACGTGACTGTCGACGAATCGAGTGGCGCTGCAACGAATTTTCCATAGTTTTCGTCTGTTTTCATTCAAGTTTTTGCCGTTTTCTCCATTGCAACGTGTTAGATGTTATTGAAAGTTTTGGGTGTTGTCACGCATGCCCATTAATTATATGAACGCATTGACGAATCATGAATCTGTGAGTTAATTTCTTCCCAAGATTATGAATATTTCGAGAGCTGCATCGTGACATATGTAATAATATGTCCGTATAGGTGAGTGTAGTAGAAAACTGCGGGAGTAGAGCGTCTAATCTTCTCTTTTACTCTATTTTCTCATGTGGTTGAATAAAATACTAGAGATAGAATTGCATTCTGCCTTCGCAGTTTTTACTTTTCTAGCCTAAAGAACACTTATTCCAATGCTTTTCCATCAAAAAATCATGTTTTCAAGGTCCTGCTGACCCTAGTTTCCAAAGTGACATCTTCGAAGAATTTCGGGGAATCGGGGATGAGATTGAGTTTTCTCCCCGACTTTTTTTTCTCCCCCCACACAACACTAGTGGTACAAATGGGGTTTGAGGGGGGAGCACCATTATCACGCTGTTGTGCGTGCGCACGCTTGCGGCTCCCCGCTCAAACGACACCTACACCAACATGTGCAGATCAGCTTGAGTGTGCATAGCTCAAGATAGTGCTTCCAATGGCTCGAATCCTTCCTTCCATTTAAATCCTTCAATAGCATCTGTGCTTTCTCACTGCATCGCAAGCACATTCCTTTATGTGTGTTTGTTGCGTGCTCTCTTCTGTTTCGAGAGGTGTGAAAACCGTTGACGCACATTGCGCTCTCTCTGTCTTCATGATGCTTTGGTACACGCCCATTGCATATCCCGACCCACACCGAAGTTGATTGTTGAGAATTTTCATTTTTATGGATTGATTCACTGTATTCACCTAAAACGTTCACTTTTTTTTTGAGGTAATTTAATTTACTGGATGTTTATTGGATCATATTTTTGAATTATTTCTTTGCAGATGTCTGTATCGACTGTGATCAATGATATAGAATTGGTTGGAGAGCAAATCTTCGACCATACTCCAGTAATAAAGAGAGAGGTGGAGCGTTTTTTAGACAATTTTGAAAGAAACGAACGTCATAAAGAATTTGACGGAATTATTCGCGCTAATCACACGGTTTGTTCTTTTCTTTTACGTGGCGAATAGTGAATATTCCGTCGTTCACAATTCCACGACTTAAAATTTTAATATAAGTGATTTTTAACAATAATATTACTGTTCTTAGTTAGTTGAAGCGGTTGACGCCAAATTGGAGTCGTTAGTGGCCGACGGAAGTCTAAAAAATCTTATCGAAGAAATCAGAGCAACGTCAGATTCCATCAGGAATCTGACCGTTCCAGCATTTAAGCAGGTTATTGTCGTGAAAGATTCTATCGATTCACTAGGAAAACCCGACCATTTCGCTCTTTATGTGATTTATGTTTGGTCAAAAGAGGAATATCTTATTTTGATTTTCCGTGTTCTCATTCTTTTTCACTTTTTCATTTTCTGTGTAAAAATTGTTTTTCATATACTGAAGGAGCACGACGATTATTTGGAATCGATGAAACGCACTCAAACGGAGCAGTTAGAAATCGTAGAAGCCGAAATTGAACGACAGCGGAAGGCATTAAGAGACCGTAGCAATCGCGAAGGAACCGCAGATTCCTTAACATCACCGGATATTTCGACAACAAGTGAAGTTGATCTGAATTGAATGACACCTGCATCATTCTTTATCAAATTCTCCAACGCCAAACTCGACAACTACTGAATTAATTAAACCATTACACTGTTTTGTAAAATTCAATCACTCGTCTTAATTTTCAACCCAATCGAATGCTGTCGGTTTATTTTTATCGCTGTTACGTGTATTCTAGTCTTTCATCAACCCAAATAAGGTCATCCTCGCATTCTATTTGTCCGATGAATGATGGGCTGTTGATAATTTTTTCGTTTGTTTCCGTTATTGAGAACGAATTAATTTCAAGTTCCCCTTGTCACTGTGTATGATTTTGTTTGTACATATAATTTATTTATGATTCGAAATATTTATGCAATAAAATTTTGAGTTTATCACGAAATTTTGCAGTATTTTTTTGTTTATCGTTCATTTGCGATAGAATATCTCCCAATAATTATGGACAGTCCTTCCCTCACAAAACTGAACAAAAGTGAACAGTAGAAGATGGATAGCTGAAATTATACCGATGGATGTTTGACTGTTGATCCATGTTGATGAGATTTTTTGAAAATTTTGGTCAGGCTTCTGCGTTAATTATCATTCATATGCCTCTTATGTGCGTTAAGAAATCGGTGTTCTGATTTTATGCCAAATTTGGATGCTAATAATTTTGTTTGCGTTTTTGGATATTGGGTAAAATATAGCGAATTTTCTGCCGAGAAGTTGAAGTTCAGCGAGATGGCAAAGAAACGAAGTTCACTGAAAAACAATCGTCCCGGTGCGGACGGAAAGAAGCCGGTGAAACATAAAACAAAGCAAAGACCGAAATTCGGTGTCAAAGCGAATTCAACGTTCAAAAAGGGTGAACACAGCTTGAATCCAGGTCATTATTTTGTCCACTCAACGTTCAGTTTTTATTTTCACGTAACTCAGCGTTGCTTACCGCCTGCATATTGATGCATCACCTTCATTTTTTTTTCTCTAAATCTCGCTCGTGTTCATTTTCTTAAAATCTCGCTCCAAAAACCTCATCAGTTTCAAAACCTTCAATGTCGCTGTAAAGGATTAAGGAAGAGAATATTCTAACTAAATTGAATGTGCTTGCTGAGATTCTATCACATTCCATTATGGAACAGTTTTTTCATAGATTTTTTCTTGATTTATTTTCTACCATCAGATCGTAAAGCAACTGGTGATCATATGCGTACGAAATCAACCATCAACCGATTGCGCATGTACAAAAACTTTAAACCAATACGGTAATCATTCGCTGTGAACATATTCGTCGTTTTATAAATGCTGACCGTTATGACAATATGGCACATATTCGTTTCTTCATCAACTTCACTTGCACTAATGAACATTATTACATTTTTATTTGTTAAGTGAACCGTGAACGAGTTTTTAATTTGTACTGAATGTTTCGAAAAGTTTTATCAAACGTTGTTGTATTTTCATTTGCAGTGACTCAAAAGGCAAAATAATAAAAGCAGCACCTTTCCAAGAGCGTCTCGCATCAGGAACAGTTGCACGAGTTGAACCAAACAGGAAATGGTTCGGTTAGTTAACTTTCCATTCTAACTGATTAGGAGTTATGATTCGAGGAAGATTGAAGACTGAAAAATGAAACCGCATTAAACACATCAACGTATAAAATGATAAAATTTTGCAATCAATTTCAAGTGAAGTTGTTCTTTATTGAATTATATTTCATTAGGTAATAATACTGGGTTAGTTATTGTTTTTGTTAAAGTTATCGTTCACTTTCAAGTGTTCCTTTACTCGAATTGTTTAGTATCGATGTAACATTTTCATCATTTCTTCTTGAAACCATTTTTGCAAAATTTGTGCTAAATCTTTTGTGAACTATGCCAATCTGTTTGTAACGAGTTTCATCTGCTGCAATCACAATTGATAAGTTTGAAGTGTTATATGAACGCCGATCACCTGAATGCCATTCGGATTGCAGTAGTGGATGTATTCCGAGTAATTTTCTAGTTTAAGGTAACACACGAATCGTTGGACAAGAGCAATTACAGAAGTTTCAAGAGAATCTGGGTAAAGTGATGAAAGATCCATTCCAAGTGGTGATGCGACAAACAAAATTACCCATCTCACTACTTACTGAAAAATCGAAGGTTGCTTATAAGCTGTCTTTTTAATTCATGTCGATCTGATGAATGTTCAATGAAGGTTCACCTCTCATCAAGATAATTTTCATTACAAAAGGAAAGAAATTTATGGTCATAATTTTTTTGTGATTAAGACAGTGAAATAATATTGATGAATGAACTTACTTCGTTAAATAAGATCAATCATATTCCTTCAGCAACAACGTGTGCACGTACTTGATACAGAAAGTTTTGAATATACGTTTGGTAAGAAGGCTTTGAGGAAAAAGGCGACTCTTAAAGTTGATACACTCGAGGTTCAGTTTCAGTTTCTCTTCATCAAGTTCACTTCCTAAATTCTCTTCTTAAAGGTCACTTCGTATCCACCGTTCTCCTATGATCTCCATTTCCGCTTCCATCGCTCATGCGAGGAATCAGTTTGTAAAGCATTCTTTAAAAAGGATTTTTCCAAATGGAAAATGTGTGTGAGACAATGAGATAAATTGGTTCATCGGTTGAGTCGAATTATTTTTAAAGGGATTGCAAAGTGATGCGATAAGTCGATCCGAGAAGTACAGTAAAGAGGACGATCGTGATGTTCACGATGAGTCGCGTGATGTAGAGCGTCCCGAAAATGCTAATCCTCTTTTCAAAGCTGGACAGAGTAATCGTGTTTGGGGAGAACTTTACAAAGTAATTCATCCGTTTCATTTGTGAACTGTTGGTTCCTTATTTATGATGAAGACATACTCACTGCAAGTGTTATACATATGTTATTTGTTGTTTTTCTCTACAGAAGTTCAAAAGTTTTTTGAAAATGGTTCTTCAACGTTGTGAATGACAATGCTCCATTTAAAACTTTCAAAAAAGGATGTAATAATAGTGTTGAACAGTTTGCGTGGTACACTTTTGACACATTCATTAAAGTTTATTTTATTTATTAGCGGTGTGTTAAGATGTTGATAGATGTGTAGTAAAATATTAATGATGATAATTTAGGTGCTTGATTCATCAGATGTAATCGTAGAGGTGATTGATGCACGTGATCCGATTGGCACCCGTTGTAAGCATGTTGAAGAGTTTCTGAGGAAAGAGAAACCACATAAACACTTAATTGTTGTATTGAATAAAATCGACTTGGTACCAACCTGGGTCACGGTTCGTTCATTTTGCAGTGTTTCATTATACGTTGTTTCCATTGGAATATAGATATGTCATGATCGAAAATTATTATTTCCATTAATGATAATGGTAACAGTAATTTTTAACAATCATGGAAATTCATCGTGGTGACCATAAAACATGATCAATGAGGAATAATGTCTCGATTATTCAATCAGTCGTTTAGAAGAAATGGTTATCGATAATGTCGAAACAGTTACCAACGGTTGCGTTCCACGCCTCAATGCAACATTCATTCGGTAAAGGTGCGCTCATCAACGTATTACGTCAGTTTGCTAAACTTCACAAAGAAAGGAAGCAGGTTCGTGTTCAATGTACAGCAATTCATTTTGTGATGCCTTCTTCACTTTTCTTGCTAACACTTTTTCCAGTGAATGCATTCGATTATTTTATCGATTTTAAATATTTTTACAAGGGAAACATAGCAAAAACAATTCAATCAGTTTTCGTATAAGTTTGTCGGATTTTCTTCGAAAAGAATAATTCAGATTAGTGTCGGATTTATTGGCTATCCGAATGTTGGTAAGTCATCGATCGTGAATACGTTAAGAGCGAAGAAAGTTTGCAAAACGGCGCCAATTGCTGGTGAAACAAAGGTACGAATTTCTGAAGTCATTTATTTTTCTTCATTTGTTGGCCTGTTTGCGATTTTTTAAAGTTCCAGGCCACGTGGTGAGTTGTTCTAAAATACCAAAATTTCTCTTCTTATGTGCGCTATTCGAACTTCGGGATTGTTGTTGTTGCACCACTTGAACATAATTGTTTTCATATGGTGGTTGGAATGTTGTGAAATTATAGGTATGGCAATATGTGACTTTAATGCGTCGTATCTATATGATCGATAGTCCGGGTGTTGTTTATCCACAGGGTGATTCTGAGACGCAAATCATCTTGAAAGGCGTGGTACGTTCGTTTGAAACGCATCATTCTTTTTGTATTCTTTATGACATTTTATACCATTTTTGTTCTCATCCCGACTGAGCTGAAATGCTCCCCGTCGATGAACACGGGGAGCGGTCACTCCGCGATGAGGTCTTCTCCCGCGCAATTCGCTCCCCGACTTTTGCGGGGACCCCTCTCGTCCAGTTTTCTCCCCACGGGGACCCTTCNCGAAAAACTGCTCCCCGACGAATACTATTGTGTAGAGAGAGCCTACGCTTAGGCTGTTTGAGGGGGGAGCCACAAGGCCACGCCTACTGCGCATCAGCTTTATAGTGCTGTTGCGCATGCTTGTGGTTGCCCCTCAAACGATACTTGTACCATGAGTTGGCGATCATCCGCGAACGTCGAGAATTCAGGTTCGTGTGGAAAACGTTAAAGATCCAGAGAATCACGTGCAAGGTGTTCTGGATCGAGTGAAAGCCGAGTATTTGAAAACAGTTTATGGAATTGACGATTGGACTGATGCAGAAGACTTCTTGAGCAAAATTTGCTTGAAAGCAGGACGACTATTGAAAGTAATCTGTTGAAAAATCTATTTGTGTTGGCATTCGAATTAATAACTGTACTTTCTATCTCGTCCGTCATCAAAATATATGATTGACGATCATCGAATTAATATGCTTATGTCATACAGTCTTTGGCTGGTTGGTATGAATTCTGAAGTTGTCGAAATGGATTGATTGGCTCATTGTGTGATTTTTTCCAACCACTTAATCTATCATCGCATTGTAAATATTGAATGGATAGTATTGTTTTGAAGAAGGTTCGTTTCAGGGTGGTGAACCGGATATTCAAACGGTCGCAAAAGCTGTTTTGAACGATTTTCAGCGTGGTCGATTACCGTATTTCGTTCGACCACCGGGATGTGAGTCAAACGATGAAGGAACTGATGACCAGGTAGTGTGCTGATTTGATTCACTTTTGATTCATCCAAACCCCACCATTTTTTATAATGATATAATTACAGCCACCTTTGAATGAGATGATGCTTGAAGGTGATTTGCAAACGGCCGACATCGATGTTAAGGTTAGTTCGTTTAATCGGCCCGTATTTTTCAATATAACTTGACTGTCGGATAGTCAATACTTTATAATGGCAAGGCATCGAAACTGTAAAGTTTTGTTGATTTTAAAAAAAATCATATTTCATCTGTACGTGCTCTTATGAAATCAGATGTAAAAATGATGATGAGATGTGAGCAGATGTTGAAGGTTAAACAACAACAAGGAAATTATTGAAGTGTAATAATTGAAATGTAAATAATCACTGAAAAACTGAAACTATTGAGTTTCAAGAATTATTTATTATTCAATCTAGGCTGAAACATCGGAAGATAGCGGTGACGGAAGTGACGATGATGAGGGATCGTTAACGGATGTTGGTTCCACTTGTAGTGGCCTGACGGATCTATCAGGTGTTTCGGATCTACTCGATGAACACTTTACAGATGCGGAGCCACAACGGCAAGAAGAACGAGGAGAGCAAACAATTGATGAGGATGATACAAAGAATCGAAAACAAAACTCATCTGTATGTGCTAGCATGAATTCGTTGTCTCCTCAAAAATTCTATATTACCGTGAAAAGCGCATTCATTCTTTTACTTTGTTTTTACCTTCAAATCATCGCTTAGATCTTGTACCGTTGTTTAGGATAACAAACATCATCCAGTCAAAGCCACTATAAAACGGCGTACTCGCGGTAAAAGGGCTGGTAAGAAATTGACTGAAAAACGGAAACGTCTTAAAATGCATGGCAATATGGGTGGTAGTGGGCTGAGTACCGAGTCGACTGCTGCTATCAATGTATGTAAAATGAAATGAATTACAGTTACAGTTTTCTTCATAACGTTATTTTTATCATTATGTACGATCTATGACATTAAAATAGTATTTATTATCATCTGTAGACGAAGCGATAAATGTTTTTCAATCAGAGCAGTTAATACGTTGCAGAAGGATAATGTTGGTGTCGTTGATTTTGGATTGCCGGTAACAGATAAACGGAAAAATACTTGGCGTAAGAAGTTGGAAAAACGTCGAGTCATTAAACATCAGGTGTAACTTGAGCAAAAAAGTTGCCGGATGGTTAACTCGAGCAACAGCTCGCTTGAAGTTAATGTTGCATCGTGACTGATAAAATGAAATGTTTTTTGATGATTGCCTTTGTGATTGATTGCTTGATTGACTTGATAAATCGAGAAATCTTTCATTCCATGATAATTGCTGAATTTTTAAAAACTAATTGTTGCTGTTGTCATGAATAAAGTAAAGATGATTGTTATTAATTGATTCATTTCTTAAAGCCATTGACCAGTGTTGGAGGAAAGAATTGATGTATTGCCTGATGACTTAGTAGTCGATGCAGTTTGTAATATTCGCTTTTACTGCAAAGCTGAGTTGGGAATAGCGATGGGTCTTCCTCCTTGTGTTCAGCTTGAAAATTCTGCATTTCTGTGGCAGGTTACCTGGCAAAAACTCAACTTCACATTCGAACACAGAGAATTCTTCATTAACTTCATTCGAAGTTTACCTACTATCGGATGCATATAAGATGCACCGATCGCTTTTTCGGAAGAGTATATATTTTGCCAAACAATTTTGCTTACCTTCAGGGAAATAGCTGATTTTGTGATGGTACCTTGACTGCTCACCAGCGTTAGTTTCTATACACTATCTCTACTGATCAATACACACGTGAGCGAGCCGTGTCTAGATATCCGAGTGAAAATTGCACCATCACAATGGTGTTTCATCATAACAAAACCACCAAATATTGGGTTCTTTCAATCAATTCCCAAAGTTGATGAAAGATGATGTCAGCCAATGTATTGAAGAACTTACGAAACATTTCTGAATAAAGAGACTTTTGTTCAGGCCCGAACGAGCTAATGATACTCAGGAAATATGAGCAAGAACAGTGTTGCCATGAACTAACCGCATTTACATATCCAAGTGAAAAAAACACCATCACAATGGCGTTCTATCATAACATAACGACTGCACCAAATACTAATTTGCCGAGACCCTCCATAACCATTCTCCCGACACCCACCTATGAGAAACACTGCTATGGATCGATCTATACATTAATATATCACTGTAAAAGTTAAAATCTTCAAATTGAAGATGTTGTCAGGTTTGAGTCCATAGTACCTGTATATTCAGAAAAATATATGTTGTTGGACGATTTCCCTTACACGAGGAGATACAGCTAATTTCTTAAGTTATTGCAACTAGCACAGTGGCGCTCGTTTAATTAAACAACTGGCGTCAGTGTTTAATGCAGATTTCTATAGTATTCAACCTCGTCTAAAAGATAATATATATTGTCGTAATAAATTTTTCCTGTCGAGTGGGTAACAATTCAAATTATTTCTTCAGTTTTTGCAGTTAAAGCGGAATAGAAAATCTCTAACATTCCTCCATTGCTACTCATTCTATACATCATGCTTCATTCTCTTGGATCTGCGCTACGCAATGGTAGGTAAACCGCCCGGATTTTTTCCCTTCAATGGGTAAGAAATTCACATTTCTGAACACATATCAAATGAAAATGCGAGGTAGTACCTCCGAGCCTTCTTAACTACGGTAACTAGCCACGCCTACAGTTAAGGCAAGCAACGGGAGCAGTA